ATGAGTAATGAGCTTGCGGGAGAACACTTCGATTAGAAAGAAGCAGTCAAAAGTTGGCTTTGAAAGTTTTTCGATTCAAAACGAAAATCCTACTACGAAAGAGGAATCCGCAAATTGCCTGTAAAATGGACAGAAGTCGTCAATAATAATGGAAATTATTTGAAATGAATTCTCATGGTTTTATGTTGAATAAATTTTAGTTCAAAGTCCGGCAGTTTTCAATTCACCAACCCAATAGATTCACGTTAAGATCTAGCTTCGTTAGACAAGATTACGATAGCTTTCAAGCAATGGAAAGTTTTAGAAAGCGTGTTATTTGAAAAAAACGACTCTATTTTAAAGATTACCGTACTTCAAAGTGAAAACGTGAAAGATCATCTAACAAATTGACAAGAAAACTCAAATTCTTTTGCTTGAAACTTCTTTTATATTAGTATCCATTTGTTATCCATCTGATCACCATTTGGTCACGGGGATTTCCCTTTAATCGCCTAAGAACAATGTACAGAATTACCCATTGTTTAGTAGATTTAATTAAAAAAAACTGAATACTTTTCGCCATTTATCAAAAGAAGGAAGCTTTCCGATACTTTGTGACCAAAGAAAACGAATTCAATTCGATCATTTAAACAACAACGATTCGTTTATTATCAAAAGCGAAAAATATTTGTGATTTCTTCTGTTTTTCATCAAAATTCTTCTGTTTCGTTTTTTCTTGGCATCAGAAAAAGGATTGAAAGAATTCTGAATTATATTGGGTTGGTGAATTGAAAACTGCGGGACTTTGAACTAAAATTTATTCAACATAAAACCATGAATTCATTCCAAATAATTTCCATTATTGAAGATAATTTAACAAATTCATAAAACCAGATTTCTTTTAGGAGTAAAATTAGTTATAGTAATAGTAGCAAATAAGTTTAGAAGTAATTTATAATATCAAGTGCTAGTAAACGATTGATAAAAAAGTAATATTGATAAAATATTGGGTTGGGGAGAATGAGTCGGCGCCGAAAATGAAAAAAATGTCTAAAACTTCTATTCGACTTCGTGAAATAATATGCGTTTGATATCAGTAGAATGGTTAACTAATTCTCAACAAAATGACATTTAAAAGAAAATTCAAACAGCGCCTCCGCTCAAGAAAAAGCCATTTTTTCACAAAAACTACAAACTGTGATCTAGAAAAAACCATTGGTGGGATCTTCCTGCAAATTTGGCAACTTAAGTAATTCAATGTGCTCTATCTTTTTTATATAAACACCAAAGAAGGTTTATGTGAAAGAAACTGTTCAAATGATGAGTCGGACTCTTTGCCATTTTAACCAGCTGCGTTTGGAAGTTCATAAACTCCACGAAAGAAAAGCTTTGTGGAATCTCTCAAAAGTGATTTTGTAGAGAAATAGTGGATCCTTTTGATGAAACCAAACGTATGTTTAAAGAAGGCTTTATGTGTGCAAAAAGTCCCTTTAAAGTTTCGCGCCGACTCATTCTCCCCAACCCAATAGCAAATAAGTTTAGAAGTAATTTATAATATCAAGTGCTAGTAAACGATTGATAAAAAAGTAATATTGATAAAATAGATAGTACTAGACTGATTCTAAAGCTTTACAATGATAAACCTATAGAATTTAGCGTTCAAAATTGATCGGAGAGTTTAAATTTCATTCTCTTATTCATTCTCAAGTTTTACTCTTCATTTAAACCATTTGGCATCAAATCAGAACAAGAATTTGAAACGCACTGTACATTGTACTTTGTGCTTAAAAGTTTGAAGGCCTTCTGGCGCACAGTCACCATCTTTCTTATGACGCCAGATCATTAAATGAATTATTCAGTGCCCCGGAAAGGATGTCTTTCCAATGAGCACAAAGTACACCATACTCAAATACTTAAACACACCCTTTCTGGGGCAAGGATTCACTCATCCCGAAACACAGATTGACTGCCAGTTGATCTTTTTCCAATCCAAAATCATAACTCATACAAATCCCAGTAATCATCATGAATCATAAGTGTCACTGTTTTCTGTCTTTCAAATCTCACCCTTACGTGTCTCTTTTTATCCCGTCCAGCCCTCCGAAAATGTGATTCAATTTTCACGCCTACCGTAATAATTCTAATAGAAGACCATGGTCTTCTAATTTTCAACCCCTTCCCCAAAGGGTCTTCTATTAGAGACTGGTCTTCTATTTTTCAACCTCCCTTCAAAAGGATCTTCTATTGGAGACTGGTCTTCTATTAGAATTATTACGGTAATTTTATTTACATTCTTTCTTTTTTTTTCCTTGTACAAAAAGATCGGAACTCAAAAATCGAGGTGACGCAGAAATTCTTTGTCTAAAAATGCTCCCGACTTTGCTCGTAAACAATGATTTTTGTAAATTATGGAATAATTGCTTCTCCAACTTCTACAATTCATATTTTGTGCGAAAACAAAATTTTTGTGCTTATTAGAGGACTTTTTTTGTTTTGCTTTTCAGACACGAACTCTAGTTTTCGATTGGGTCACAGTTTGGAAAGAATTTAGGCTATTATAGTGTTTTAAAAGTGTAGAAAAGCTACCGTAAGCAAGCTTTGCCTGTTTCAAGTCAAGCCAAGCCAGGCTCGGCAGTCAGGCCAGATCTAGACTTACTATTGCACATTAGCTTCACAACATTTCTGGCTATCAGATTTACATTAGACTTGTGATATGGTAAGCTAGATCTAGCTTAGAATCGAAGTCTGGACCAGGTTAGGTTAGGGTTTCAGGCCAGGCTTAGGCCTAGGCTGGTAAAGGTGCGCTCATTGAATCGGCTATCTATAAACATCTATAACCATCTATAAACATAAACAAACAATATAAACAGCTTAAGCACACCCTGGTAAAGGTGCGCTCATTGAATCGGCTATCTATAAACATCTATAAACATTTATAACCATCTATAACCATCTATAAACATAAACAAACAATATCAACAACTTAACATTCACGAGTCAGTCCATTTTCTTGTAAAATGTAAAGCAAAAAGGAGAAATGTAGATTTAAACATTGTGAAGTTGTGAAGATTCCAACGAGCTTTTCGTGTAATTTCTTCTCGAACATTTCAAGTCCAACCATTCTACAAGCCTTCTTTGATCGTTTTGAAATGGTTGAAATGGTTTCTTTGATGGCACAAACATTAGTAAATATTCGATGCTTTGAGAAACCTTTTTGAGAATCAGTTTATCTTTTGTCGTTTTTCGATTTTTGGGTGGGCGAATTGTCCACCAAATCCCATAAAAGCTCACACTTTTAACATCTTGTTCCAAGGCGTCAAACTTTTAAAAGCACTTTACCCGCGAGCACTTTATTTATCTCCTTCTTCAAATCCCTCATCTTTTTGATTTCCAAATATTATCCTGGTCTACCCAAGTGCTCGCGAAATGCTCACTGTTCGAGAATTCTTGCTTTCGGACAATTCGGACAAAAGGAGCAGAAAGCCAAGTCGAACGAACGGCAGAAAGCCAACTTTTTAGCGCCGCCGTAGCCTCGTTCTTATCCAAGGATATCGAAAAATCAAAAAATTGATAACTAGAGGCACGATTAACGTAGTTTTTGAAAGGTGCCGTGTTTTAGAAAACTCATGATACGAGGTAAACTCCATTCTAGCTTTTCCACATTTTTGAACTTGTTATTAGAAAGAATGTACTGTAAGAAAACTGTAATCTTCTGTACTGTAAGAAGACTATGTACTGTAAGAAAGAATGTACTATAAGAAGACTGTAATCTTCTTATTTTATAAGATTTTCACCAAAAAATACCCATGCTATCATCTCGAAAATTTATCATTTTTGCTTTCTAAAAATATCTTTTTTTGTTGAAAAATGATATCTTTTGTTGAAGTGACCGAAATTTTCATTTCATTTCTGATTCGTTTTTGTCTTGACGAATATAACATTAGAATGGATAATATTCTGAAAATTTCTTAAAAGATTAGGGGATTTAAAAAAAAACTTACGCATAATAAATATTACAAGAATAGGGAAAGATGACGTTTTGAAATAGGAAAACTTTGGAGAAAAGGAAGAAACCCGTGTGAAAGAGATAATTGAGACGCCAAGCTATTTCGAAATAATAATTCTCTAAGAGAATATGGAATAAAGTGATGAAATTGCAGGCACAGATCTGGAAAGAATTTGAAACTTTTAAAAGCTACCGTAACATTCGCTCAGTTCACCCAATCTATCTACAGGGTGCCTCATAATTACTCATACTCGCTCTGGAGTCGAGTTTGTTCCTCTCAAGAAATAGTGTGAAATAGGAAAAAGGTTAGGTCGAAATCAACTGAATATCTTTGAATATCTTCTACAATTTGTAAGATATTCCTTTAATTTTAAATCCACCTCGTTCCTATTGTGCACTATTTCTTGAGAGGAGCACACTCTACTCTGAAGGGTGTAGCTCAGTCAAAAGATAATCGATTCCCTACAAAAATTTTACAGGTAAATGTTGAGTGGGTCTCCTGTAGCAGTGCCCATTATCTAACCGATTGCAGCTCAAAAACTTTTCAAACAAACTCCAAAACTAGATCGGGCGCCAGGCTAAGTGCGACTTTGAGAGCTTGTCAGAAAAATTTGTGAGCTGCAAGCGGCTAGGTAATGGGCACTGCTAAAGGAGATCCACTCAACATCTACCTGTAAAAATTTTTGTGGGAATCGGCTATCTTTTTGACTGAGCTACACCCTCCAGAGTGAGCAATGAGTAAATATGACGCACCCTGTACTTTTTGTATATTTTGTTATCTTTGTGAAGCCTCGCAGAATTAGATTAAAAGTAGACAAATTGGATAAGACTTTAGGCTCAGCTTGAATCCAATCATTACTTTTATATCTTTCACCGAATTTGATCAAAAATTCGGTGAAAGAGATAAAACTAAAGCCAAAAGTACAGTTTTAACAAGTTGCCACTTTTTAAGAAGAGGAGCACACTTTCGTTTTACGCACTTAAACTTGTTACCTGCAGAGCCAATTTGAAATCATGCCATTCCTTTGTGGCCACTTTTGTCTCTAAAATTAACCAATAAAATGATAATCAAAGCAAAGTAATGAATGGCAGAGAAAGATTTTCGGGGATGGGATTGAACCCTCGAACTTTCCCCCTGCCCTTGACCTTCCGGGCAGATGCTTTAACCACTGAGCTATCCGGTACCTTTTTGGAGCAGAAGAAAGAGGAAATACAAGGAGGAAGATAAGGGCATTTTAAATTAAATAGTTACCTTTCTTTGTACCTCTTGCTCATAAAAAAGGTTTAATCACAAAAAAGCTTCCAAAACTCACAAAAAACGATCGAATCTTGTAAATTCCCAGAACATCAAAAATCAGGGCCAATCCTGTAATAAAAGAGGAGATGATGACAAGAATTTGATAGGCACTTTCCGTATAAGCACCGATACGCACCACTGCGTAATTGATCGGAAAATAAACAGTGTTGTCACCGGATTCTGAAGCAGTTTAATATCAATATTTGCATTGTTTTTACCATTAAATATCAATTCCGCGTATAGAGGAGTGCCGGGGATTAAAATAAAGAGAATAGCTTGAAGCGCTGGATATTTAACGACATGCGAAAAATATTTCCCTTTGGCGAAGATTGCAAAGAATCGATTGATTGATAGAGAGAATTGGCAAAAGATTGGGATATATGTGCACAATTGGTAAATGATTGCGAGGTGGTGGTTCAGAGTGTAGTTACACCAATAGATGCTGCAAAAAGTTGGACAGTGTTGAAAAGAAGAAAATCAATCAGCTAAGTTATGCCTGACTTTTGACTGTTTCGGATAGTTTTTACCGTATTTTCTCTAATAGTAGTGCACCGTGAGCTTTGCCTAAATTGCTCGAAATCTCGAGAACCGCTTATCAGAACCTATCGATGTGGGGTCGGAAAATGTAGCTGACGATGAGATCTTGTGGGGAATTTGAGTGTTGAGTCTCTGGGAAAACTTTGGAAGCCGTAAAATGGTCATTTACTCGGCTCGCCGGGGTGCACTACTATTAGAGAGAACCCGGTAGTCAAGATCGTCAAGATAGTCAAGATAGATGAGATCTTGTGGGGGATTAAAGTGTTGAGCTTCTGTGGAAACTTAGAAACCGTAAAACAGTCATTAACTCGGCTCGCCGGGGTGCACTACTATTAGAGAAAATACGATAAATCAGAGCCACTGCCAAACCAACCAGACCAGACCAATTGTCTTTTATCCTGGACTATTGCAAAAGTCAATTTGAACAGCTCAGCCCTGTTCTTGACGATCCATTACCCATTTCACTCACTTATTCGAACATCCAGCAAAAACAAAACCGCAAAGCGAGCAAATGATTCGAGCGAGGTGACTGCCGAGGAAATACATTTTCACAACTTTGTGTAAACGAGAATTCCGGAAGACGATGAGAGATGCGACGAAATTGGTTACGGTAGCCAAAGTAGAGAACTGAACTCATATTTTGACTATATAATTTATAAAGCTTTATAAAATGAAATTCTCACCCCGAAGAACAACCCGATTGCCACTGAATCCGTGGCAAGGCCGAAGTCGGCACTCATCGAAATCGATAAATATGCAAGTTGGGGGGAAAAATTGGGAATTTGAACACCAGCAAGTTTCAAGGTGTTTTTCTTTTGGGAAATTTGTAATTTGATTTCGCCCGTAAATTGTTTGACTCGCGATTCAACCCGGCCACAAAACCCACGCAAACGTCACACCTTACCAAAAAAGAACTTTTGAAAATCACATGACACAAGTAATTAAGCGTCATAAATTAAGCGTCATGCCCTTTTTGAGGTTTGGGTACTGTAGCTAGGTCACGAAAAAGATTGACTGGTTACAGTACCTTTGAGCAGCTGTACTTTATACAGGGTGACCAAGAATTACCGCAACAACGGCGTATTATGTTATGAGCCCCATTTCACTTTTTGCTTACCTGTTTTTATGGTTTTTGTGTATTTTTATTATTTTATGGTATGATTACTAACTTTCAATACATTAGTATGGTTGTTTTCAGGAATGGTGAAAGCGTCTCCATATCGACAATCGATCCTTGAGCTCAAGCGGCAGCGTGTTCAGGCGAGCGAGATTTCAAAGCGCCTGAATGTCCCCAGAAGCCTCGTTTCTCGAACCATTCAATGTTGAGCACAGTTTCTCTGGGCTCTGGGCAATGAAACTCTGGACACAGTTTCTGATCTCCCTGGAAGAGGTGCAAAACGAAGAGCGGCTACTCGGGCTAATGTCAAGCCGGGATAACCGCCAATGGAAAGACCCCGTTGATCTTTGTTTTTCAAGGTGTGAAAGTGTACAAGTGTGAAAGTGAATTACAGTAGTGCGAGAATATATTGCACATGGCTAAGGTAAATTCATTACCGTTTCTTTTTTTTTGCAAGTCTATTAGAGAAAATACGGTAAATCATAGCAACTGCCAAACCAACCAGGCCAGACCAATTGTCTTTTATCCTGGACTATTGCAAAAATCAATTTGAACAGCTCAGCCCTGTTCTTGACGACCCGTTGATCTTTGTTCTTCAAGGTGTGAAAGTGTACAATGAACTAGAGTAGTGGCAGAATATGTTACACATGTCTAAGCGTAAATTAATTTCCGTTCCTTTTTTTTGCAAGTCTATAAGCAAATAATAAATGTGTGTTTTCATTCACGCCTTTTAAAAAGTTGAGATCTTATCGCAGAACAACAGCGCGTAAAAGATCCTCAAAAATGATCTCAAAATTTCGATTTTTATTTAAGATTACCTAAATCGATTCCGTATCGGATGGAATTATTGCTAGAAGTAAGAAATGCTTCGTAAATCTTTTTTTTCTTCTAACCTATAACAATTTCAGTGGTTTATCTATGTGTTACCGTATTTGGTGATACTTGGAGGAATTTATGGTCTTCAGCGATTCTTCTTGAACAGGGTAACTAATTGAAAGTCTACAAAAGAATTCAAAAGTCTACAAAAAACAGTTTTTGCAATCTCAACCAACGATGATCGAATTTTTGGATGGAAAAGGCAATCGACGAAAGCGGCCAACGAATCTTGACTTATCAAGAATCACTAACAAAAATTGATTACAGTATTGGTTTTCCAATTGTCGGTACTTGCCCATTTTGTCTTTTTTGCCATAACGATACTTCTGTTTTGTATCTCTTACACAATTCTTGCACAATCTCTCTCATTTCTCCTTTTGTGTCGTTGCAAATCAATTCAAATTCATTAAACACAGTTAAATTAAATAAATGTTAATGAAATGAGATCTTTTAAAGACAAGGTAAAAAAATCTTGAAGTTTCACAAAAAAAAACTGTTAATTTGAGGAATAAGGCGGAGAATAATTAAAGATGTGAATGTACGATTTGGATGACGAAAATGGCAGTAAATGTACAAGAAGTGACAAAACAAATTAAATCTGGGCAACCATGAGATCGATCATTTATTGGGCTGGCTTCTGTCCAGGTTGACCGGCGGGTTGTCCCTTCTTTGACATCAAGTAGCGATGGATGTGTGGAATCACACCTAAAGAGAATTGTTGTTAGGGTTGACAGAATTGTTGTTAGGGTTGTAAAGAAAGGTTGATATTAATTTGTAATAACAGCACTTCAAGAAAAGTGGTGTTATTACCAATTAATATCAACCTTTCTTTGAACATTCTCCTATTAAAACATTATACGATATTTTCAAACGTTAATAAGTTACCTCCACCGGCGATGGTGGCCTTGATGAGAGTGTCCAACTCTTCATCTCCACGGATGGCCAAATGCAAATGACGAGGAGTGATTCTCTTCACTTTCAAGTCCTTTGATGCGTTCCCGGCGAGCTCAAGCACCTCAGCGGTCAAATATTCGAGGATGGCGGCACTAAAAGAAACATAAAAACAAATAAGAAGAGTTTGGATGCTAAAGATGTTACAATTACAAAGTTGACTGTTTAGCACATTTCCTTGTATCATTTACGATCCTATTATGCACACTTTATACTTGTTTATGCTTAAAATTAATCCATCTACAGGTAGAAAGTATTTTTTTTTATTTGGTACTTTACAAATACAATTAGAGTTGTCATCCACAAAGCTCTTCTTTTCTTAAGCCCACGTATAGACAGACTACTTGCTCAATCTTAAATTCTAATCTTAAACAAAAATAAAACTAACCTGTAAACAGCAGCGGTGGCTCCAACACGCCCAGAGCTGGTCGTCTTTTGCTAAAAAAGTCAAGCTAAGTATCTCTACTATATATAAAAAAAATAATCTCTGTCTGTCTGTGCGCGTCCCCTTTGAGTATTTTAAAAAACCCTGAAACACGTATTTAATGCAAATTTCATGTAGTTGTGCCTTTTAAAAAATTTTTGCAAAAAGTCAAAGTAGGTGGTCACTGGCCAAAGTCGAACCCGGGTCATGTGAGGCGTCAGTCGAGCGCGCTATCCACTGCGCCATGGGTTCAATTTTTATTTTATGCTGAATTTTTATTTTATTTTTGCATGCCGGGCTTTTCCAACAGAGAATTCGTTTCTGGCAATCATTTTTACGATTTCTGAAGCAGCCGGCCGTTAGGCAAGCTGTTCTGTTGGTAATATGTATAAATAAAAGTAGATTTGCTTAGTTTACCTTGAGGAATCGATGGATACGTCCGACAGGGAACTGCAGTCCAGCGCGAAATGAGCGAGACACCACTTTGGTTTTCGCTTTTCCAGAGTCCTTTCCAGCCTTTCCTTTGCCTCCAGCCATTGCTTCTGAAAAAAAATCAAAAATATCACGGTCAAAACTATTTAGAGCTTTTTTTTACAAGCATAAAAGTATTCAGTCAAGTGATGAAATATTTTCGAAGCACGAGTTGAATTGTGGAATCAAAGAAATACTTCTGCACAAAGTTTTTAAACAAAATCGAAGGATTGTCCAAAGTTGGATCTTTTTGTGGTCAGGAATGAAAGAAAATGTCTCTGGGGCACATCAAACTAAACAATTTTGACCGGGTTCCCGCGCTTCTTTCTCTGCCCGCCCATCGTCTGTATACAAAGCGCAACAGTGGCACTTTGCCAAGCGAGTCACCATTCTTATGACAACCCAGGGTTACGGTAATTCATTCTTGGCACACTTTAAAATTGTGCCCCTTTATCGCCTCTCTCCACAGAATTTGAAGTTTGAAATCGAAAAGAAGAGCCAATTTTGTAAAACTTCTCAAGAAAAGTTTTTTAAAGATTCAAATGATACTTATCGAAAATTTTATATATAATTGAAAAGATTTTTAAAGGTAAAATTTTACATCAGCTAAATCTTTCATCGGTAACTTTCGAAATTTAAAATGTGACAAGAAATATTACACACGAGTTCCTGCAATTTTACGTTTTGCTTCGTTTTTTCCTTTTTGAAAACACCTTTTGTTCTAATAATGCTATTCTAATCTTCTTTTTCCAGGTAATGTCCACGTCGGGTGGTTCGCGTGGAAAATTGGCGCAAGGATTCGGCACAAATGGAGCTGACCAAACGGCCGCCTCACTCTTTGACTCGGTTTTCTCGAAGCCGTGAGTTTTTTTAACCGGATTATGAAGAATTAAGATATAGACGCCTTTGGCTTTGGCAAGGATTCATCATAAACTTTAGTGCCAATCGCTTTCCAAAACGGCCAGTGCTCGTTGAAGAAGAAAAGGATGCACTTCCTTCGGTTGTCTCTGAGGCTTCTACATCACGGAATTTGGGTAAATTTTAAAACGTATTTTCAACGCTTTATTGAACATATCAGCCGACCAATAGATTAACAAACACAGTAACGCACAATAAACATTGAACACATACATCAGTTTGCAGTAGTTTTACAAACACAGTTTAAACGCTCAATAGCCAATAGCCTCGCAAACATATTAAATGCATCAGCCGAACAGTAGAAACACAGTTATCCGTAAAGCACCAAATTTTTTATGAAAATGGGAATATTGGGGTTAAAAATACCTGAATTTGAAGAATCCGTTAGTTTTCCGTTAGTTTTCCGAAATTCACGTGTTTCCGTGTCAAAAATACTGTTTACAGAAAAAGTGTCAGAACTTTTGAAACACCCTGTATATAACAGTTAACTTGTTTTGGTTTAGATGGAAACCAGAAGATGATGTCGCCTCCAGTGAGCTTGCCCGAATCTACTTCCACTGAAGGTGATGGAAACGTCGATCAGGTATTTTTTTTTAATTGGTACTTAGTGTGATGTTCAATAACTATTTAATTTAGTCACCATCTGGCTCAAATTCGGACGATGATGATACAATGGACTCTCAGCATTCAAGTGGACCCGTTCGTCGACCACCCAAGCACACATTGCCTATTTCATCTAACTACGAGTTTGATGACAATTTCGATGAAGATTCAAACACTCCACCTGCATCAAAACGAGCAAAGTCGCCAGAAGAAGGTATTTTTCTTTTAAAATCTGATACCATCTGATGGATTTTAGAGCCGCAACAAAGTTTGAGGCTTTTGCCAAAGAAAGAAGCAAAGCCGATTTATCGACACACTTGGTCCACCGGTTCAGGTAAATATTGGAAAGATTGACTTGATGTAATAAATAAAGGATCGTG